GAAGAAATCCAAGACCAAATCAGCTCAGTTAGTGAGGGATGAAGGGGAAGCAGAACCCTCAGAACAGGAGCAAGAGGCAGGGTCAGAGGTAATCACCAGATCCCCATCCCCGGCTGAACTGTGAGAGATGTGAAAAGATTTCAGCCTCCAGCTGGGAGAGCCCCTGCTGACCTGGCTGCTCCAGTGCTGGGATATCATGGCCCAGCATATGGAACTAGGTGGGAGTGCAGCCAAGCACCTGGGATCCCTGTCCTGGGATGTTGGGATTGACCAGGGGATTGGGAAGAGGACAGAGAGGGGATGAGAGGTGGGTACAGGCTTGGGAATTGCCAGGAGGGCTTTTGAAAGGAGCGTAGGGGAAAGGGATGTCTAAGAACAAGTCCCTCAGGAGACAGAAGCAGAGAGGCTGAGTTTTCACCCCAACACAAGGGTCTGCCGGGCAGAGCAGAGAATATGCCCACAGAAGATTCTTGTGCGCCCGTCTTTGCAGTTCTGACAGGCACTTCTTGTCACAGCCTGTCCTCTCCATTCCAGAATAGGCCCTGGCAACCAAAGAACCAACACCCCACACCATAGTGCAGACCAACCCATGTGCTTTGGGCCCTTTTGTTGTCCTATCCATTCTGACCTATCCTCTCCATTCCGGAATAGCCTCTGGAAACCAAAGAACCAAGCCCCCACCATGTGACAGTTCAACCCCACCCGTGTGCCAAGGGCTCCTTTGTGGTGTCAGAGCCTGTCCTCTCCATTCCAGAATGGGCCCTGGCAACCAAAGAACCAATGCCCTACAATCCCAAAGTGAAGCCCCACCTTTGTACCATGGGCCCTCTTGTGATGTCACGGCCTATCCCCTCCATTCCAGAATGGCTGCTGGAAACCAAAAAACCAATGTCTCACAGCCCCTAGTGCAGCCCAACCCCTGTGCCATGGGCCCCTCTGTGATGGCACAGCCTGTCCTCTCCATTCTGGAATAGCCCCTGGAAACCAAAGAACCAACACCTCACACCCCCACAGTGCAGCCCCACCTGTCTGCCACGGGACTCTTTGGGATGTCACGGCCTTTCCCCCAGGAAACAAAACCTGGAACCTTCGGGTTTCACATGCAGTTGGGGGGCCACCCTGGGCACTCCATGGGCAGCAAGAGCTTTCTGTCCTGGTCCTTTCTGTCTGGCAGGAATCTTCAGCTCTGTTTAGTTTGGGCAGTCAGACTGGCAATATCAGCACAGGGCTCCTGCAAGTGAACGACAGCCCTTCCCTCCAGGAAAGAAACCCCTTACCCTCGGTCTCTTCTCCTGTTCCTTAAAACACAACCTGCAGGGAAACTTTCTGGCATCTCTTCTCTTGGGAATTGGGAAGATAGACCCACTCCCATGTTTAACACCTCAGGCAAAACCACCCTTTGAACACCTTTCCCAACCCTCCCCAACCTTTCCCAAAGCCCAGATTTTACAGGTGTCCTGTAATTCTGGCCCAATCTCACCCAAGCCCACAAACCATGACAGAAACCTCTCAGCCTCACGCTGCGTCCTTCCCATTGCTGTGCCTTATGTGCAGGCAAAAGGCCTTAAAATCAAGTACCCAAAATTCATGGTCTGTTCTTTTTCCCAGAAAAGAAGGCGTGGTGAACTCCCCAGACCAGGGAATTGGAAGATCTCCCCAAAACTCCTTTGGTACACGCTGCAGGGCCAACGATTCCTCTGCTCTGCCCTGTCGGCGCTGCTTTGTCTCATCTGGGTCCCCAGAAACCGTCAGCGAAAGCCGGGGAATAAAATCTCTGAGCAGTTGGTTGGGTTCCAGAGGTGACCCTACTTCATTCAGCACTGAAGGGACACAGGAATTGCTCTCTAACACCTGTACATCAGTTCTCAAAACTTTTAACTCTTTTTACATTTTAGCAGACAAAGGAATTCCTGTCCATTGGCTTACCAGTTCTCTGCAGGAATTCTTATTCTCTCTTCTATTGACTCTTGATTTCTCACTTTGCATGATGCTTAGTCCACAGTTTTTGTCCTTGTCTTGTCTTTTCCCTGGATAGAGAGAGCCTCAGTAACTGTCTGTGTTAGTTTTGTCTTCATCTCTGGTTTCTCTAAGGGTCTTTGTGGTTTTTAAATTCTGCCTTCTTGGTGTCCAGGTCTCAAAAATAGATTTCTCTGCCAGGTCTCTGACCACTGAAATATGGCAGGCCTTAAACTTTTCCTTTGTTTTTCTAACAAATGGCCATGGCCCAGAACTTGTCCATCATCCATTGTCTCTTGCCCCCATTCAATCTCCTACCAGCAGTTTCTCCCCACTGCTGGGTGGGCTCCTTTGTCAAGCACTAGAACTTGTTGGGTAACAGGCCCAGTCCTGTTGCCTATTTTTCATGGGGATCTGCAGGAGGGCATTGAGTCTTCCAGGAGCAAATTGGCAGAGGACCCCAAGCTGGCTTGCAGTGTGGATGTGCTGGAGGGTAGGAAGGCTGTGCAGAGGGACCTGGACAGGCTGGACCTCTGGGCCAAGACCGTGGGTGGAGAGAAGGGCAATGGAGCTGGGCAAGGGTCTGCAGTGCATGGCCTGTGAGGAGCAGCTGAGGGAGCTGGGCTTCTCCAGCCTGGAGAAGAGGAGGCTCGGGGCTGACCTTCTCCCTGTCCACAACTTCCTGCTCCTTCTCCGAGGCAACAGGCAATAGGACAAGAGGACAGGAGGACCTGCCTGTCAGGGGCTGTTTGTCAGGGACAGGAGCAGGACTTTTTGGAGAGAAAGAGGGATTAGGTATTGAAATGGGCTGCCCAGGGAGGTGGTGGAGTCACCGTCCCTGGAGGTGTTTAAGCAAAGACTGGCCATGGCACTGAGTGCCGTGCTCTGCTTGACGTGCTGGGGATGGGGCGTAGGCTGGACGCCGGTTGATCTCACAAGTCTCTGCCAAGCTCAGGGACTCTGGGCTTCTGTGCCACCCCAGCCTTTGGGGACAGCGTGCTGGTGGCTCAGAGGCTCCGTCCTTGCCTTGCCTTGCCCATCTCCTGGCTGCCAGGCAAGGGCCTTGTGACATCACAGCCTCTGTGGAACAGCGCGGGGGCTGAAAAGTGTCAGTGCTGCGTCCCCGTGCCCAGAGCCTGGGCAGAAGTCGGCTGGCAGGGACGGGCAGAGACTGTGCAGAGGTGTCAGCTCGTCCCGCAGCAGCACCATGCCCAGCCAGGGCATCTCCTGGCTCCTCAGGCTCTCGGTGCTCCTGCTCTTGCCTGGCCCACTGGAGCCTTGCAGCCGTGCCACAGGTGCCATTGCTGAGAACCGGGGTTTGCCTTGGATGGCCCCTTGCCAGAAAAGGCAGGAGAGGCTGGAGAGAGGGGAAGGAGGGGGGTCAGGCCGCTGGGATGGTGCCGGCGGGCCGTGAGCCCGAAGCCAGCAAGGCCTTGGGCCCACCCGGTGTCAGGGGAGGACTGAGAGCCCCCAGGGAGGAGGAAAGCTGGGCAGGCCCCAAGGCTCCTGGGCCTCTTCCTTGGCAGCCCTTTGGCCAAGGCCCCCAGGCAGAGGTGGGGCTCAGCCCCTGCCCAGCAATGGGGCACAGGCTGAGCCCCAGGGACACCAGACCCAGGCGGCCTGAGCTCTTCTTCCTGCAGCGTCTGCCTGGGGCAGCCCAGCCAGGCCTGAGTCTCTGCAGGAGAGGCCAAGCCCAGCCAGAGAGGGCTCAGCCCTCTGAGGCTGCACTCACTGCAAAGGGAACAAAACATTGACCCAGAGGACATCCTGCCCCCAAATGGAGAATTGGAAAGGTCAAGAATAAAAAAGTCATCCCCCTCCATTCTTCAAAGAATGTGATTTCTTTGCAGTGGCCGTGCCTGTTGCCAGGGGAGCAGAGCCACAGGCCCAGGAGCCGAGCGACAAGGTCAGGTGCTCTTGTGCTGGCCTGGTGGGCAAGGGCAGGGGATTGCAGGGCTCAGCAATGAAGCATTTCCCTCTTCTCTTTGGAGGGAATGTTGCACTCTGAGGGCATCCATCAGTTTGTGCCTTTGTGATGACAAAAAACTCAGTCTGAGGAACTGCTCAGAGACTTTGGATCTTTGAGCAGCAAAGGGATTTATTGCCGACTTCGGCAGCGAGCGTGGTTCGCACCACAGAGAACTTGCTCGAGAGTTTCACACAATATCGGGGTTGTATACAATTTTCATATATGATTAAATATGATAAATCATATTCATCTGATCACAACATCTATCTATGCATATTAATAATGGGTGGAGGTCAGGCAGAGTTTGGGCAGGACTTCTCTTGGCCCTCAGTTCTGGGAGGGGTTTAGGTGAGTCTGGGGTCTCTGCTCCTCTTCATCAGTTCCCAGTGTCCCCATCCTGGTCCCTCATGTTCCCATTCCATTCCTGGTGTTCCCATTCCCATTGTTCCCATCCCATTCCTGATGTCCCCATTCCCAGTCCCTGGTGTCTCCAACCTGCTGCCGATGTCCCCGTTCCCTTTCCTGGTGTTCCCATCCCTGTTCCTGCTCTCCCCAGGCTGCTCCCAGTGTCCCCAGCATGGTCCTCCAGGTCCCCATTCCCATTCCTGGTGTCTCCATTCCCATTCCCAGTGTCCCTGTACCTATTCCCGGGGTTCCCACCCCAGTTCTGTTTTCCCCATTCCCATTCCTGGTTTCCCCATTCCCATTCCTGATGTTCCCATCCCAGCTCTGTTTTCCCCATTCCCATTTCTGCAGGTCCCCATTCCTGGTGTCCCCATTCCCAGTTCCTGCTGTCCCCAACCTGCTCCCAATGTCTCCATTGCTATTCCTGCAATCTCCACCCCATTCCTGATGACCCCAGCCTGCTCCAGGGTCCCCAACCTTCTCCTGGTCATCCCATCCTGCTCCTGGTGTCCCCATCCCTTTCCCCATTGTCTCCTGGTGTTCCCATTTCAATTCCTGATGTCTGCAACCTACTCCCAGTGTCCCCATCCCTGTCCCCAATGTCCCCATCCAGCCCCCCTGTCCCCATTCCCATTCCTGGTTCCCACAGAGGAACTGCCGGATGCCGGAGGAGGAGCCAGGATTTCTTGCCCAAAGCAGGAGATTTTCACACCCAAATTAAAGCCTCAGGAATAATTGTGGTCCTGGGTTTCACACGGGAAAAAGCAGGAAGTTGATCCATGGGGAAGAGCCGCAGGGGGGCCGGGGTGGGTGGGAGCAGCGGGATGAGCTCTGCCAGCAGCTCCTGCCTTTCCACAGGGAGAGGGAAGGGGCGGATCCAGCTCTGGGATCGCTCAGGCCGTGATTCCTGCTGGGATGAGAGTGGGGAAAGGAGTCACCATGTCCCTGTTCCCATCCCAGGGGATGGAGCCGGCTGTGGAGCCCAGGGAGAGTAGGAACTGCTGCGGATTCCCACCTGATCCTGCTCCGTCCATCCCACCCCAATCCCACTCCAGAATCCAGCCATGATCTCAGTCCACAATTCCACCTGATCCCACTCTGGAATCCTGCCCTGAGCTGCAATCCCCTTCCAATCCCACTCCAGCCATTAGGTCCCCATTCCCCTCTGGAATCCCGGCATCCATCCTGGGATCCCTGCACAGAGGATCTGGATCCACACACGCTGCTGGGACTCACTGGTGGGCGCGGGGTCATATCCATTCCCCTCCCTCTTCCCTCTGGAAAGAAAGTGGGATCAGCACCCGTGGCACAGGATCCCCGGAATGCTGCCGGGCGGATCCGTGCCCCTTGCCGACCCCCATCCCGGGAGTTACCGGATCGGAGCTTCCAGACACCGACTGCCACGAGGCCGATGATGATGATGATGGCAGCGATGACGGACACAGTGTCCTAGTTAGAACAGCTGGGACCGATTCCTCACTGGATGGGTGTAGCCCAAAAGTGTGTATTCTATGGCCTTCCATGCCATTTTCCCAGGAACTGTTGTCGGGGGGGGAGGGGGCCTGCGAGGTGGGGGGGGTGTCCCTGTCCTCATACCCTTTTATGGAATTCCCCGCTCTGAGAATTCTCATATCCTTTTATGGAATTCCCCGCTCTGAGGGAAGAACTAAGCATCCTTTTATGGAATTCCCCGCTCTGAGGGAATCACTGACCATTCCTGCCTGAACTGGAGAATATATAAACCTGGAGTTTCAGAACCTTTCCACCACTCGTGGGATCCAGAGGAAGGCTGCAGCTCACCACTCTCAACCAGACTGAGACCACCACCCTCAACTGGACTGCAATCACCACTTCTGACCAGACTGCAACAGCTCTCCCACCAGCAGGTTTTTTTCCCCTCTCCCTTTACTTTGGACTCGGGGGGGGGCCAAGGAAAACCACTTTGTTCATGCCCCAGGGTGCTGGGTTATACATTTGGGTTTTGTGGGTTAAAACCAATTGCTTGTCTGTATAATCAGACTTATTGGGCAAGGGGGGCCCAAGGGGGGCCCAAGGGGGGCCCAAGGGAGGCCCAAGGGGGCTGGTCCAGGGGGGGAAGGGCTGCAGGGGGCGGATCCCGGAGGAGGAAACCCGCCAAAAGCGGCGGCCCAGCCGAGGGAGGAGCCGAGCGGGAGCACAAAGAAGAGCAGCCCAAAGGTCCCGGAGAGGGGGAAGGCCTTGGAGTGTGGAGAGGAGGGGGGGCCTTGAGGCGGGGTGGGAGCCGAGAGCGCCAAGAGGTTTGCGAGGGTGGGAGGCGAGAGAGGAGGGCCGGCCGGCCCCGGGAGGCAGAGTGGGGAGAAGTGAGCCCTGGGACCCCCTGGCAACACTAAAGAGGACCCCGGAGAGTGGGAACACCCCTGAGTCACGGGACCCCCGGCAGCCCAGAGAAGGGGGACCCCCAATGCAGGCAGAAGTGCCATCAGACCAGACAGGGGGGACCCCCCTAACCCCAGAGAGCAGAGAGGGGGAACTCCTGCGAGGGGTTTTTGGGCTGATTGTTGGTGTTTTGGGGGGTTTTTATGGGCACAAGATGCCCGGTGAGTCCTAGAGCTGGACTTGGGCAGGAGGAACCCCCAAGGCAACGCGCTCACCCCTTGTTTCCCTCCTTCCCATCAGGATTTCTGCTTCCCAAAGCTTGGGCGGATGGAGGAGGAGGCTGCGAGGAAGAGGAAGATGCCTTGGGCCCCCCAGGCAGGTGAGGAGGAAGTCAGTGCCCCTTTGGGTGGGTCTTTTGTCTTTTGTGGCCGTCCTGCCGGGGTCGGAGTTGGGGGGATGTCCTTGGGCTTCCCTGTGGGCCGGAGGCAAATCCCCTGCGTGTCCTTGTTGGTTCCTGCCCCAGGCCCCGAGGTGAGGCCGGAGAGCGCGGAGGACAAATCCCCCCGGCAGAGCCTGGTGGGAGAGGCCGTTTTGAAGGGCTCCCCGGCGCAGGAAGGCAGCGGGGAGGAAAAGGGCCGGAGATGCCCCCGCAGGAGGGGCTCCAAAGCCATCCCAGGGGGCTGTGAGGAGGAAAGAGCCAGCGTGTGCCGGGAAGGCGGCCGGAGCTTGAGGCGGAGCTGCGAGCTGGTGGTCCCTGAGCAGCCTCCCAGCAGGGAAAAGCCCTTCAGGTGTTTGGAATGTGGGAAGAGCTTCAGCAAGAGAACCAACCTCCAGAGGCACCAGCACATCCACAGTGGGGAACGACCCTACACGTGTGGGGCGTGTGGAAAGAGCTTCAATCAGAGCTCCAACCTGCTCCAACACCAAATGATCCACAGTGGGGAAAGGCCCTACATGTGTGAGGAATGTGGGAAGAGCTTCAGTGACAGCTCCACCCTGCGCACCCACCGTCGCATCCACAGTGGGGAACAACCCTACACGTGTGCGGAATGTGGGAAGAGCTTCAGGAAGAGCTCCACCCTCCACAATCATCGACGCATCCACAGTGGGGAACGGCCCTACACGTGTGCGGAGTGTGGGAAGAGCTTCAGGCAGATCTCCCACCTGCTCCGACACCAGATGATCCACAGTGGGGAAAGGCCCTACACGTGTGAGGAATGTGGGAAGAGCTTCACTCAGATCTCCGACCTGCTCCGACACCAGATGATCCACAGTGGGGAAGGCCCTACACGTGTGCGGAGTGTGGGAAGAGCTTCAGGGACAGCTCCAGCCTTTGCAAACACCGTTGCATCCACACCAGGGAATGGCCCTACAAGTGCTTGGAATGTGGGAAGAGCTTCAGCACAAGCCCCAAGCTACTCAGCCACCAGCACATCCACACTGGGGAACAGCCCTACACGTGTAGGGAATGTGGGACAGCTCCACCCTCTACACCCACCGTCGCCTCCACATCAGGGAGAGGCCCTACAACTGTCGGAATTGTGGGAAGAGCTTCAGGCAGAGCTCTTCCTTGACCTCCCACCAACGGACCCACCAGTAATGGAAGCCCCGAGTGCCCCGACTGCGGGAAGAGCTTCGGCCGCTGCTCCAACTCCATCAGCCATGGGAGGACCCGCGTTGGATGATCCACAGGGACCCCCGTTGGGCACAGACCTGGTGTGCTGGTTTAATGGTAAACCAGCAGGGGAAATGTCAGCGGTGACACCTGGAATGGGATGGAACACCTGGAAAGGGAATGAGAATGCCTGGAATGGGAATGGGGACATAAAGAATGGGATTGGGACAAAAGCAATGGGATGGGAACACCAGGAATGGAAATGGGAAGACCTGGAATGGGAATGGGGACATTGGGAGCAGACTGGGGACACTAGGAATGGGAATGGGGGCAGAAGGAATGGGAATGGGGACACGTGGAATGGGGAGGGAACACCTGGAATGGGAACACCTGGAATGCAAATGGGGACACCAGGAATGGAAATGGGGACACCAGGAATGGAAATGGGAACACCTGGAATTGGAATGGAGACTCCTGGAATGGGAACACCTGGAACGGGAATGGAGACACCTGGAATGGGAATGGGGACACCAGGAATGGAAATGGGAACACCTGGAATTGAAATGGAGACACCTGGAATGGGAACACCTGGAATGGGAATGGGGACACCAGGAATGGAAATGGGAACACCTGGAATTGAAATGCAGACACCTGGAATGGGAACACCTGGAATTGGAATGGAGACACCTGGAATGGGAACACCTGGAACGGGAATGGAGACACCTGGAATGGGAATGGGGACACCAGGAATGGAAATGGGAACACCTGGAATTGAAATGCAGACACCTGGAATGGGAACACCTGGAATTGGAATGGAGACACCTGGAATGGGAACACCTGGACTGGGAATGGAGACACCTGGAATTGGAATGGGGACACCAGGAATGGAAATGGGAACAGCTGGAATTGAAATGGAGACACCTGGAATGGGAACACCTGGAATTGGAATGGAGACACCTGGAATGGGAACACCTGGAATTGGAATGGAGACACCTGGAATGGGAACACCTGGAATGGGAATGGGGACACCTGGAATGGAAATGGGAACACCTGGAATTGAAATGGAGACAACTGGAATGGGAATACCTGGAATTGGAATGGAGACACCTGGAATGGGGACACCTGGAATGGGAATGGGGACACCTGGAATGGAAATGGGAACACCTGGAATTGGAATGGAGACACCTGGAATGGGAACACCTGGAATTGGAATGGGGACACCAGGAATGGAAATGGGAACACCTGGAATTGGAATGGAGACACCTGGAATGGGAACACCTGGAATGGGAATGGGGACACCTGGAATGGGAACACCTGGAATGGGAATGGAGAAACCTGGAATGGAAATGGGAACACCTGGAATTGAAATGCAGACACCTGGAATGGGAACACCTGGAATTGGAATGGAGACACCTGGAATGGGAACACCTGGAATGGAAATGGAGACACCTGGAATTGGAATGGGGACACCAGGAATGGAAATGGGAACACCTGGAATTGAAATGGAGACAACTGGAATGGGAACACCTGGAATTGGAATGGAGACACCTGGAATGGGAATGGGGACACCAGGAATGGAAATGGGAACACCTGGAATTGAAATGGAGACAACTGGAATGGGAACACCTGGAATTGGAATGGAGACACCTGGAATGGGAATGGGGACACCAGGAATGGAAATGGGAACACCTGGAATTGAAATGGAGACACCTGGAATGGGAACACCTGGAATTGGAATGGGGATACCAGGAATGGAAATGGGAACACCTGGAATTGGAATGGAGACACCTGGAATGGGAACACCTGGAATGGGAATGGGGACACCTGGAATGGGAATGGGGACATCAGGAATGGGAATGGGGTCACCTGGGCTGGGAATGGGAAGATTGGGAATGGGAACATTGGGAGCAGGTTGGGGACACCAGGAATTGGAATGGGAACATCTGGGATTTGAATGGGGACACCTGGAATGGGAATAGGGAAAACAGAGGTGGGATGGGAATACCTGGAATGGGAATGGGGACAATAGGAATGGGAATGGAGACAATAGGAATGGGAATGGAGACAATAGGAATGGGAATGGAGACACCAAGAACTGAGAATGGGGAAAACAGAAGTGGGATGGGAACACCAGGAATGGGAGGAGGCACAATAGGAATGGGAATGGGGACACCTGGAATGGGAATGGGAACACATGGAATGGGAATTGGAACACCTGGAAAGGAAATTGGAACACGTGGAACAGGAATGCAAACCCGTGGAACGGGAATGGGAATTCCTGGAATGGGAATGGGAACTCCTGCAATGGGAATGGGGACACCTGGAATGGGATGGGAACAACTAGAATGGGATGGGAACACCTGGAACAGGAATGCAAACCCGTGGAATGGGAATGGGAACTCCCGGGCCCGGGCTGTGTCCCTGGGGAAACAGGAGGCCAGGCCCAAAAGAGTTAACTAAGAAATTGGGGCCTGC